ATCAGTTGAAAATTTCACAGAGAATATTCCAAAAGAATACCATCCATCATCATCAGCAGAAAAGTCCAATCCTTCATGGATCTCCTGAAAAACATAGAACGCCAAAAATGTGACCAAAAATATTGTCAGGAAAAGAATGCTTGGATGAATATAGAAAGACATACTCGATCAAAATATTTCATGTTGTTCAACCTTAAATCACAAAGTCAATATGCTACCCCCATAAGTATGATCATTCTAGTTACTCTATTCGGTCTCAACTTTTAAAGATATACATATATCTAATTGTCATGTTGGGAAGTTGTCATCCTGAACGATTACTTTCCTGACCCAGGAGTGTCTGAAGCGTTGACATAGGTCCTGATGGCCCAATTCCTAAATTCTAAGCATGGGTATGGGAACAAAGCCCATTACCAAATATCTTTGTTATGCACATATAAGTTTCTGGAAAAGCTCCGCTTCATGCTAATGAAATCATTATAGGCACGGTTAGACTGTTAATAACAAGGTTTAAAAGATGTTACTTATGAACAGAAGACAATCAGACACTGAGAGAACTAAACTGCCAACTCCAACTTAAGTGCTTTTAGTTGCCACCATGAGAATTTTGTATTTCAGTCTCCAATGTGAAGCTAGTAAACTAATTGTCAACCGGATTTCAAAGACTAAAAAGAAGAGGCATATTACCGTGATGTTTGCAAGGGACTCTGAGGCAGCAGACCCAACATTAACAATATGGACCATTGGTGATATGCTGGTATAAACCTGAAACGAGGAATAGAAATTTGATTAAGATATCAGCAACAAACACGATATTTAAGGCCATTTAGATATGAACCTTTGACTCACCTAATGCAAACAATATTACAGCAATAAAATAAACAATAGTGTGTTAAAAAATAAAAACCCACATGTACGAAAACATTCATTCTTTATTTAGAGTTTGAAAGAAACTAATCCAAGTTAATGTCCTTAATTCTGTATCTCATAAATCATTAGAAAATGATTTGCTCAATAATGATGGTTGCTTTTCAATTACGTGTTTTTTCCATCTTTATTCCTTGAGTTTTTAATCTTCTGCATTATTTTCACTTTGTAGGTTGACTTTAGGTGAGCGAAGGAAAAAAGAGTAGCATGTTCAACACAGACTATCAACCTAGTTATCAGTGCATAAAACCATTACACGAAAACTTGAACATTAAAGCAGACAGATGACTAGATAATGAAGGAATGCAAAGGTGCATGCACAGACATGCAGACAAATCTATTTGTGGACTACAGGCTCTGTACAGGCATTGGATTCATCCTTAAGCATAAGTCCCTGTAACAATATCCTATGTTTGTTCATTTTTAGAACATAAAACAAGGATCAGGAAACCAGAGAAAAAAAGTTCTATCTGGTATTGTTTTGTCATGTCACATTGAGAGTGAGACAGAAACATTCTGTATGATACTGGCACTAATGAGTTTGGAACACAAAAGCTATCTGATTTTTCTTATCACCATCAATCTTTGTAACGAGACCTAGAGTGCTGCTAGAATCCTTAAAAATTTAACCAAAGGTGACATAAAGTGGGAAGATTTTAATCCATTTAGTGCACAAAGTGGGACGATTTTAATCCATTTAGTGCTTGAAATGCATTATCTTGGCCACAATGATCCCTTTCATATTTTACTCCAGAATATTCTGTTTCATAGAACTAGCATTTCCCCAGCAGAATATATGTCAAATATAGTAGTTTTCAAAAGAATTAAGTTGATAGGAAGGAAGACACTGAGCTCATGTAAAAACCAGATAGGGAGAGTTCATTCCAGCAATAAATTCCCTCAGCATCACAAATTTTGCTTAAAATAATGAGCAAAAGAAACACAATTTGGAATGATCAAGCCATCTCTTGCATGCAAATATAATTAATCATATCTAATCAAAATCACAAGATAGCGCTGATCTGGAGAAAGGGATGTGTCAGTAACTGTCCAACGCAAACTTTTAGCAAGAATGTTCTTCTGAACCTTCCAGCCTCTATCCACATTGTATATTATAATATCGCTTCCCTGAAATCAAGCATTCACAATCAATTAAATCAAACCTATTACTGCCTATGATCCAATCAATTCAATGTCAAGTCAATCTCACTCAGATATAAGACAATGAACAAAAGAACCTGAAACCCAGCAACAAATAGAGAACCATCACCTTAAAATTGAGAAACATAAGCCCGGCTGGTCATCTGGTCTACAAGCCAAGGACCATTTACCGGCAAATATCTGCTAAGCACGTGACAACAATCTGCTGATGAGAATCTTCCTCTTCCTGAATAATTTCCTTCTTGACCTGCCAACATCATCACTGGGGAAATAGGTAATTTCCACTTTCCAGGCATGAGTTGACGCAGTCGTTCATGAGGCCCTGATCTGAGGTTTGTAAGCTGGGCAATCTCATGGTCGACATTATGCAATGGTTTGTTGGACCTATTACTGCTGCTGGCTTCATTGGTGACATTATCGCCATCAAACAACTCAGATTCTATCTCCAGCCTACTCATGGCATACCCCATTTCATCAATGGCAACACCATTGGGTGTAACAAACATTTTAAACATAAAAGCCCTGGCGATATTTTCCTATGACAAATGCATTAACACATCTGTTAAACCTTCATACCAAACATATTTATTTTGGGTTCCTAACATGTCAAACCTGAAAAAAAGAAAAACAGATAGAATTGGGTATATGAAGAGATTTAAAACCAAAAGCAAAAAGGATTTATAACAGACAAACAAATTCATGATCAATAGTCAAGACAACGAGTTTCGGCACAGTTTGACCAATTTTAAGTCACTTTCATACCCAAAAAAAATGGTGTACAGATAAAACCCAAAACAATGAAAAGTATTGGCTTTTAATTAGATTCATACGTAAAAATCACATCTTTGTATAGTGTACCACCTTAAATTTAGTGATAAGCATGAAATTAAACCAAAACCAGGTCCCAATACAAGTCAAAAGGCAAACGTTCATCTTTAGTTACTCAGAATGTCTTCAGTTACCGCCAAGTCAAATTGTTTGCACGGTACAGAATACATTCAAAACAAAAGCAGCATCCAAAGATTCGATCGTTAAACAAAAAGAAAACCTAACTCACTTGAACATAAGTGACAACTAACAAGAAAACTGCATAATAAAAGAAAGATTATAAAAGTAAAAATGAAAACATAAGAGTTGGAAAGTGGACAAGAGTGAACTGAAGCTTGCCTGTTTGTTCTGTTACAGAGTTGAGAAATCTTTTGATAATGCTGAGATTTGGTCCGAATAGGGGTTCAAAAAAAAAATTTGGGAAAATATATTTTCTGGGTTGTGACTTATGGCGTTGTGTTGTTGACGATTTTTTTTTTACGAGTGGGTGCCATAAGCGTACTTAATCACTTAACATATTGAAACGCGTCCCTTCACCATGTTACTTCCAAAAACGGTGTTCCATTTCCATCCCATGCTCTAACGATGTCTTGCCCTTTTCCCGTCTCATCTCCACACTTCTTTTTCTTCTCATAACAAATGTCATACTAAAAATCAACATTCTCAATAGCTGGGGTTTCCTTCCAAATGTGCCACAAACTTTCCAATCATTTTTTTTTTCTTTTCGAAATAATAGATTTAAACATGAAATTGAAATCTTACACTATTATAAATAAAGTAAATAATTGATTATTAAAAATGAATATTTATTTTTAAGTTATACTAACGATCAAATATTATATTCATATAATTAATTAATAATTTATAACTTAATTAAATAATAAAATGCACGCAAAATAAAACTTGAATCTAAAACTTTAAAATTTTAAAATCTCTTACTGCTGAATCAAAGTTTTATTGATTTAAAAATGAATATTTACTTGTTCAAGACAAAAGACCTTTTTTTTTTTTTTGTAATTATAGAACTTTTTAATGAACCAGATGTTACTATTATGATAAGATTTTTTTTTTTTTGAGGCATACATAATCAATTTATTTTGGTCCTTGAAGAAAATAGATAAAAAATTCTTTATATTTTCACCCCGATTGAATAAAACCTGTTTAAGTTTAACAAAAGAGAATTAATGGTTAATTTAGCATTGAAATTGAAAATTGTGTTCCATTTAACAGTTACTTTTGATTCAATTTCATATTAGACAACAAAAATGCAAATTTTCACTTTAAAATTTTAATTTATAAATTAAAAAATATTTAAAAAATATTTTTACTGTCAATCGTAAATCATAATTTGTGTGTGTAAAATAATGTTATTATTAATATCATATCTTTAAATTTTTATTATTTTATGCATATTTTTTAAATATTTTAATTTATTACAATAATTTTTTACAATAATATCAATATTGCAGTTGCCAGAAAATTTTGTGCCAATCTGCCTTTAATATTCAATTGGATTTCAACGCATCAGCACGATTGAAGAATTTAAGCTGCGCTTGTCAACTGATGGTCTTTAGCTCCTGTGAAAAAACGCTGAACTTCATCCGTTTTTTAAACTTTTTTATCCTTCATTTAATATAATTTAACTTTTTTTTATTTGTATTTAAAAATAACAAAATAATTTTATTAATTTATTATATAATAATAAATAAAATTTATTATTTATATAATAAATTAATATAAAAAAATTTATATTTATATTACAAATTAATAAATAAACAAAATTGTATTATAAAATAATAAACTAGTATTTTTATTAATTTTTTAATTATTTATTAAAAAATATTATTTATCATAAAAATAGTTTAATAACTTTTAATTATTTATAATTTTATAGATATAAAATAATTTATAATTTTTATTATATACAAATTTTCATCTAATATCTTTAATTTTTCTATTATAGTTTATTTTATCTTCACTGTTATATTTATATATAAACATATATTTTCATTACAAATTTTAATTTTATTATTTTAATAATTAATTTCACCTTTATTATTATTTTTAATTTCACAACAATCAATCTCTCTATTAATCCAAATGGATGCTCAGGCCTTTAAGATTATATCTACGGCCGGTTTTGTTTCAGAAGCACCGCCTCCCGACCCAACCCGGTTTCTCCAGTCAATGGGACCGCACGGGTAAATTAGAATCCGGAGTCATTGCCTCCCCAACCTTTTTGATTTCAGAATCGTCCGATTCACTAAAACCCTCCTTAAACCCTAAAAGGAAAAGCATGCGTCCGTTAAAATCACAATGAAGCGCGTGTTCAAAATCTCAGACGCAGCAGCCCAAACAGAGCTGCTATCAAATCTCCACAGGCACCCGTCAAAACCCAAACCTTTAATCCCAGTTTTATTCAATCTTCCCAAATCCTCTCTTTACAAATGTTATGGAGACGCTGTTGCCCCGAACAAGCACCCTCCGCTGCCCAATAAATTTCCCAGCAACATTATGGACTTGTTCATTGACAAGCTTTCTCAGGTGGAGCCCCAACCGCATCTCACAGAGAAGCTGACGCGGAAAGTGATTCAGTTGAGAGATGAATTGGTAAAGAGTGTTGATTGTTTGGAGGAAGTGGTCAGGGTTTTGGAGGAGAAAGGTGATTGGTTACTTGGGAGTTGTGAATCTCAGGGTGCTGTGCGTACTAACCATGCTTTTTCCGAGTTATTGAAAATTTTGAATTCTTCGCCTAATGTGGCCATGGAGGTATGTATTACTATTTTCCCTCTTTTCAGAAGAAAATTCATTTGTTTGAATTTAGGGTGAATTTGTCTAGGTTTTTGTTATGGATTTTTTTTCTTTATTAGTGTGGTTTTATTTTAATGCTTAATTGGGGGATGTTTCAGAGCTCCATTGTAGAATTTTGTTTTCATATTATACTGTTCTTCAGGTGTTTAATTGGAAGAGAAAAAAGGCAGAGCAAGGTTATCCCATGACCGCGAAAGAATATGTTAGTGGTATCACCATTGCTGGCAGGACTAAGAACGTAGATCTTGCTTTTGAGCTCTTTGCTGAGGCTGCTAGTAAGCAGCTTAAGAAAAAGTCTACTTACAATGCGTTAATGAGTGCCTATATGTATAATGGTTTTGCTGAAAAATGTCAATCAGTGTTTCGGAATTTTAAAAGGGAAAAGAATTTTAGTCCTTCAATTGTGACATATAACATTCTTATATCACTCTTTGGTCGTTTGATGCTGATAGATCACATGGAGGCAACATTCCAGGAGGTTCAAAATTTAAATCTCGCTCCTAATATAAGTACCTATAACAATTTAATTGCTGGTTATGTGACTGCTTGGATGTGGGATAGCATGGAAAGAACTTTTCAGTTGATGAAGACTGGACTGGTTAAGCCTGATATTAACACTCATTTGCTGATGCTTCGAGGATATGCACACTCGGGGAAATTGGATCAGATGGAAGAGACATACCAAATAATAAAGCATCACGTTGATGACAAGGAAATCCCATTGATTAGGGCCATGATATGTGCATATTGTAGGAGTTCTGTCAAGGATAGGACCAAAAGGATTGAGGAACTGTTAAGGCTAATTCCAGAGAATGAATACAGGCCTTGGTTGAATGTGTTGTTGATTAGACTTTATGCTCAGGAGAATCATTTAGAGAGTATGGAGAACTTGATTAATGAGGCCTTTGAGCGCAAGACTGCTGTATTGACAATACGTTTGATGCGTTGCATTATCAAAACTTATTTCCAATACAATGCTGTGGACAAACTGGCAAATTTTCTAAAGCGCGCAGAATGTGCTGGATGGAGAATCTGCAGGTCTTTGTACCACTGCAAAATGGTTATGTATGGTTCACAGAACCGCTTCGAAGAAATGGAGAATGTCCTCAACGAGATGGACAATTTCAAGTTGGTTTACACCAAAAAGACATTTGTGATATTGTACAAGGCATACTTAATGAGTGGTAACAGACATAAGGTTGAAAAAGTAGTGGGATTGATGTGCAAACGTGGCTATGTGATTCCTTTGGGAGCATATCTATCATAAAGCTTTTGTGCAGCAATATTCCAGCAGAAGTCGCAAGAAACATTTAGCTAATCAGCATTTCTCGTTCATCATGATCATAACACAGAATAGAGATTTCAAATTACCCATAGGTACACATCTGGTCTCGGTATTGCTCTTGATTGACATTCTCTCCCTATTGATTGGTGTTTCATGAAATGTTGTTACTAGGGAAGGATACATTGTGTAATTGAGCCCTCCCCTACTGCATCACTTGAGCTCTTATTTCCAATTTTTATTGTTTCGTTCAGCTGCCACAATGGTCTTTCAGATGTTGTGAAACTATTCTTCATCTTAATAACAATCATCATTTGGTCCAAAAAAATTACTTTACGTTTGCACTCACTAGACATCCTTCACCAAGCCTAAGATCTAAACTTTATTCTAGTTTGTCTGAATTTATGCAAACACCAATAGTAGCTCCAAGGAGGTTGGGAATAAATCTGACCTGGTGGACTTTTAAAGGATTGCCCTTGTAATTGGTCCGCCAGCTTTACAATTAGTTTAGGAGAATTTGTTTCTGGTGGGGAATTACAAGGTTCTAAGAATGACTTGAGAAGGCTATAGGAAAATATAACTGGAATTGGACTCCGTAGTTTCTGTAAATATATTCAAGGTGTCACTTTCTACCAAATGTTCCTGCTTGTGTCACACCCCGCGTGGCTTCTGGCCTGTGACACTTGCTTATATCTCTATTATTCAGTAACTATCAGAATATCCTGCCTGTATGCTAGTAGACATATAGTGGGCTTTATCTTACCCAGTTAGATTGAAAAAGGAGTATGAGCTGCTGCTTTCGACTATTAGGTGGTTCTACATGTCTAAACCTATAACATCTATATTTCAGTGGTTGATGGAACATTGGAACATGTGGGACTGCCCTGGGTTATATTAAGTAATTAATTGTTTGTTGAATGCCAACAGATTATTTTGGTGACCTAGCTGTTTATTGCCTCTCTGTCCTACAATTTACACTAACTTAACCTGGCTAGTGTCATCTATCTTTTGAATTGAAAGGAAAGGGAGCAGGAGGGATCATGCATTTCTTGATCTATAAGAATACCTCTACAGTGACACTTATCTCACTTGCTAATTTCCTTAAATTGCCTCAACGCAATTTCAGGAACTTACTTCATCATAGCAATAAAAGATTATTTAACTTGGTAGTGATTAGATGCAGTCTAAAAATCATTCCAAGTCTATCTACCTAGCAAGCTGCTAGTTGAAAATAATTCTGAAACCCTAAACCCTGGGCATTGTTTTTTTCTATGTTATGACGAGAAATGTGAAATTCTACATTTTATCTGATTCACTCATGTTGAGTTGAATAATTGCTCATTCTTTAAACTAAATGAAGATATTCATAGTTCTTTGTGTTTATTCATATGGTTATATACTACGATTGACTGGCTATCCATGTAATTGCAGAAAGTTCTACATTGTTTGATGGGCTGAGACTACCGGTAAGCTGATTGCCACAGAGAGTGAATAAAATCCACTAGAACATTGAAGATCTTATGTTTTCTTCTTGCATGCTTCCTGCCTTTTGACAAACCATAGGGGTTATAAAAGATATAACTTTACCTTAAATTAAAGGAGTCGTAAAGCTTGTCATCTGTGAGAAAGAGAGCTGAAGGTGGCATCTAAGGTTCAATCTTGGCAGTCATTATTCGGTACATATTGAATGGGATGATCTTAGTTTACTCCATTAGTATGGCAGCCAATATTCTCATTTTCATGAGTGTCAGTTTTTTTTTAACACCAAATACTTGATAACCTGCTGAGTTAATTCTCACCCTTTTAATGACCCAAGTTTGGCAGTAAGGCTAGGTTCATATTACTGCTAACAATTTTGTTCTCTCTATAAATTTAAAGTAAGACCATAAACCACCCGACATATGAACATTCCCGTGAGTTACGTGGAACTTAAATAGATCTCATACTTATAAAGAGTTGGGATTTTATAATAATAGATCATACAATAATAAATTGTTAGTCATATGATTTCATATAGTTGACAACAATAAATGAATTCATATGGTTACATGTAAAAGTGAACTGTTTAGTCCACTCTAACTTAGTATGATTTGTTCTTTTTCTTGGTTTTGGAATACAAAACAGGCCTCACATGATGATAGTGTATGTTGAATTTCATGCTAGATTTATACTTTGTTTAAGCATCATGTCATCCAATAGAGTAGACCTTTTAGATTGGGGCCCAAGTTTTTGCCTCGAATCTTAATGAGCAATGCTGTGCGACTTTTTCAGGCCTGGCCATGTCTTGATGGGATTTTTTGTTTGTGATTTCACTTGTTAACAGTTGAAATATTTTATGTACCCAGTCGCATGGAATGCATCAATAACTTAACTGAATAAAATTTACTTGGATCTATTGGGATGGAAAGAGTTTAGGTGTGGGTCGTCCGTACAATTGGATCCAGTGTTGCTGTCGAGCGACTGTGAGTGCCGACTCTTTGGAAAAACCAGTTGACCTCTCAGATTTAATTAAGATTTAGCTGTGGGCTATGGGCTGTGGCAGCTGTAAAAATAACATGTTTTCCTACTTTAGGAAGCACATTCTTTGGTGTCAACTGAGTAATATTAATTTTTTGGATTTTTTTTTTGTGATGATATAACCACATTTACACGCCGGTGAAAAATACTACTCGAAATTCGGTTGAACCATGTCGGAAGCAAAGCTGAACAAACCGAAAAACTGTACGTGCAACAATACAGGAAACATGTGGAAACATGTTTGAGATGGAAGAAACAGGTTAATGCCACCCCTGCCAAAGTTTTCGCTTCACATTCATTTCCCTTCAGGGAATTTCCAACATCTCATGTAAGTCGAGTACTAGATTGTTTTTCTTATGGTTTTGCCTCCAAATATTCTACTCATGTTTTTTACTAGTTTTTCTGTTCAAAGCCCATTAATTGCTCAACAGTGGTTGGTTTTTTGAAATTGAAGATACAGGCATGAGACACGCCCTCAGAAAAAATGAAAAAACAAAACTCACTATTGGTTGACTAAAACCACGTAAAAAAAAAAAAAAACTCAGTATTTGTGAAGTGCTTTTGTCTTTCATGTTTGTTGGATTGATGTCATCTTTTTCATCTTTTATCATTCCCCACCTGTCTCTTTTTCATGCATAGAAAAGAAAAAGCTCTGTTCTGGAAATTTCAAATTTTTGCATGTGAATTCAACTAACTCCATTTGATGCCAAAACTTGAAGTTTAAGATTTCTTTCTGTCTTCTTTTTTTTTTTTTTTTTCCTTTCACTTTCATATAATTTTTTCCACCACCACCACATTTTTTTATTTTACTATGGCAATCCTTTCCATTTTCCTTTTCGGGCTTATCTATACTTGTCAGCCTTATTCTTGTATTTACTCATGTTTTATTCTTGTTGTCCACTACCGATTCCTCTATCTATCGCTCAATGTTTTCATAGATTACTATTTAGAATACATTTTTAATGTGATTTAAAACCTACATTGATTAACATAGCATTTATCATCACAGCAAGTCAAAATATTACTAACTATTTTACGATTTTAAGGTTAAATTTTCATGTCAATAATTTATTTTTTTTATAAAAACAATTTAAAAATAAATCTTAACATCTTACTTGCCTTGAAAGGATTGAGTATAAATTTATTAGTTACAAAAACTTATTTTATTGTCTTTTGAATTGTGATCGAAATTTGAATTTGAAATATTTAATTTTGAAATCAGATTTAGTACCACTGAATCAATGACTTAGTGATTAAATAAAAAACTTAATTTAATTGTATTAAAAATTAACCATTACTTTAAGAAATTACTATTTTTTTCACTCAAATGTAATTTAAGATTAAATCTTTTTCAATTTAGATGACACGACGATGATATTAGATACACAATCAAATTAACAAAAAGATCTAAACCCAATACCAAATACATCTTAAATCAATAAATTTCAAATGAATTAATGATAAATGCACATTTTTAATTGGAATAGAAAGGACCCTCAGATTGATAGAGTTGAAGGGTAGAGAGTTTTCAACTTAGATCTTAGTGCGAGGCTGAAAGAATAATTTAGGAAGGGTGATTTGGGAAATGGAATAAAGATTAGTGTGAAAGGGGGAGCAAAGTTTCAAGTCGGCAAGCAATGACAATAGTAAAGTAGTGGAACATTGTGAGGCAACTGAGGAAGTAGGTCAAGGATTTTGTTCCTAATCTAATCGTTATTGAATAAAAAGACAGTTTCTTGACAATGACTACACCTTGTCGTATTAGAGAATATTTTTCAAAGACATAAACAGTTAATTCACAATAGGACAGCCTCATAATAAGACAATGAAGAAAACAATGGATGAAATTCATTGGTCATTGATGATCTTAATTTACACAATAAAAGGTTAAAGAACAAAAGTTAATATGATGAAAATTAAAAAGAGGGTGAATATTTTGGTGATTGGCAGATGCAAAAAACTAAGCATATATTCTAAGCAAAGGCCTCAAAAGTCAATTGAAGACAGGGTTCCATGTCCTTGTCTAGAGCTTACCTCTTCCTACCACTTAGTGGCCATTAAACCCTTTAAAGCAATCCAACAGCCTGAATTTTAAATCTTTTTTTTTTGTTTTGTTAGAAGTTTTTTCAAAAGTGGTCCCTCAGAGTACTTCCAAAATTCCCAACCACTATTTGAAGAGTTTCCTTTCTAACATTAAAAAAAATAATAATAAATAAATAAAACAAATTTCTCTTGGATTTGGCCATTTATCTCAAACTCCAAAAAAAATCCATAGACGAGCTGACAAGATGTCTCCTAAAATAAAGAAAAATCAAAATTGAACCGAAACGATGTGGGAAAGATGACAAAACCCACGATTTTGACTTTCAATCCAATCATCATTTTATTATTTATGCTTCCAAAAATTTTTGATTGGTTGGGGATTTGGTTTTGTCTTTAGAGTGACGAAAATGGTTGCCTACGTGGTCCGCCACGCCACACGCCATCTTTGTGCACGCTTTCATTACATTTACAAATTACAACTAAGCTTTTCACCACCAAATTTGAGTTTTAAATCCTTGAAGGGAAACGCCTACCAAATTGGCATTCAATCAAGTTACTGCTACCAATCATCTAATCCTTTCTTTAATTAATTAATTATTTAAAAAAAATTTTATAAAGTAGTTGAATTTTCTTCTCAACTGTCAAGTATTTATTAGAGTGGAAACGATTGGCTGAATGGTTGGTTGGAAAATATTGAAGCATATAATAGTATATGAAATATTATCTATAGTTTCTCATCTTTTCGTGACGCATCTGGTACACAAAATAGATAGTTAAGATGCCCCTCATGTAAGCCAAAAAATCATGCCATTTTCTAGGGGTCTTATAGTTTACCTTGACTTGGTAAAACAAGTATCCTCCCACTTAGAAATTTAAGGGTCTTGCAGGCTTACCAAGTTCAAGGTTCCAACTTGCCAATGGATTTAAAAAAACCAAACCCCCTACAATATGAATCCTGTGAACACAACGGCACTTCATCATCGATGGAGATTTTTATCAAAAGAAAAAAGCATTTGCCATGCCTAGCAGACAAAAGACCGACTATCTGAAACCTACCGCTGGTTTATTATCTCATCCCCTGGATACGCACTGCAAAAAGCTTGTTGAATAAGGAAAATGCCTCTCCATTCCAATATAACATTTTGGTTTCGAAGGATCTGCTTCATCATAACAAGGGATGTGGCGAATAAAGCAGAAAAAGATCGAAAACTTGGCTCTTCAAGAGATGTTTGATACCCAGAAGCAAAGTTTGACAGAGAACCAAATCTTTATATTTAACTCTAGAACACAAGTATATAAATTACAAGTTCATAACAAGATGGATATATTCCAATCCTTGTTCTGAAATTAGTGCTAAACAATTACCAATTCTTTGAACCAATTGATCAACCACCAAACATTTACCCATACACTTCTCTTTGTGGCCGGAAGCTGACTGGGGTAAGCATTTTTATATCTGGCGGCTCAGCGAATGCCATCAACTTTATAAACAAGTTCCTATCCTTGGAACCAATGAAACAGGCCTTCTCACAATAATATCTTTATCCATCTAAAAGAAAACCTTAGGAAATCGTCTTCCAAGTGAAAACAACCGGTCCCCAGAGGTGAAGAATTCGACCACCACCACCACAAAAATAAGTAAGAAGTAATAACACTACAAAAGCTTATAACTACACACCACGACTTCGAAAGGGAAAATACGGAGTGAATTGTCAAGCTTTGTTTACGTATTCTGCCTGTAGTTAAGGTCAAGTAGACTATTAACAGTTAGAATTCACGAAGTTCTTTATCTCCTCCATGAGGCAATAGAAGTGATCGTTATTAGGCAAGAAGTAGAACCCGATTGTAGCCTTCTCTAGGAAAAGAAGTTTCACCTTTTGACCGGATTTATCAAGTCCTGTAACATATGCTAATTGCCAATCTTGAATGAGATCCAAACCAGCTACAACAACAAGACTTTTTGGAAACTTGAGTCCTTCAAGGCTTCTGCCCCTGGGGCCAAACGGATTACACGCCGGATGGTCTCTATCTTCTCCTTCTGGTAGATAAGCTCTCCAATACCAATCACGGTCTTGCAGTGTGACAAAATACTTCCCATCCAATCTCTTTTCTGATTCTGTTCTCATCTGCCCACCAAACATTGGATGAAGAAGAATGTTACCTAATACCTCAACATCTGCTTCTGCTGCTCTCACGGCTACATGGTGAGCTATATTTCCGCCAGAACTATCTCCAGCCAAGTAAACATAGACTTTAGAATCCTTTCCACTTTGAAGCCAAGTTCTTGATTTAACCCACTTAAGAGCTGCCCAACCATCATCATATGCACAAGGGTATCCGTGTTCAGGTGATCTGCGATAATTTACAGACACCACAACAGCTTTACAAATGCTAACGAGGCGGCGACAAAAGGTGTCGTAGATAGCACTATTGGCAGAGGAATGAGTGAAACTTCCACCATGAAAGAAGACTATGACTGGAACAATCTCAGTGGTGCTCAAAGGTTTTTCAAGGTCCACAATGCCCCATTGAGCCTCATTCTGAGAAGAAGGCTGATAAACCCTGTTAAGAAGACCGGTGGCTCCATCGACATGATCAAACGAGAAAACCCCATCAACAGGGTTGATATTGGCAGAGACTTTGCGGTCAAGGAACTCCGATAAGTCTCTGTTAAAGGTTCCATCTGGACGGCGCTGTAGATTGTATGCTAGCTTGAAATTGGAAATGAGGACCCATGTATTCAACGGAACAACCCTCTACAAAAAACAATAGCATATAATCAGAGCAATTATAAGCTTTGCTCATCAATATTAATGCGCTCATAGACTTGAAAACTGAGAAAGAGACTGATCATATGGCAACGCAGAGAAAAATATCACCCAAAAAAAACCTCCATAGACCAGCAAGCAAATTGTGGGATGAGGAATATAGACTTAGCGCCAAAATAGGAAAAGAAGCAGTGGGGGCCAAAACACAACTCCAAAATCTTCAAATCAAAGTTGAATTTCTAACCTTTTCTTCAACCAAATTATTCTTGAACATAACAGACTATAGCAACATTAAAATTTTTGAAGAAAACAAAAGTAAAAATGTAAAATCAAAACACTCCCACAAATTATTCCGTTATTCAGAACAGTATATAATTGGACAAAAATTCGGTTAAAACCAACAATAAAACCCCGAGAAAAAGGTCAAAATCTTTCGAACCCAAGTTGAAAAAAAAAAAAAAGCAACTCGATTTGCTCGAAATGAAAGTCAAATCCCCCATAACATCAACTTGCTAGAATAAAAACTGTTGAAAACAAAACAAAGACCGTAAGAACAAAATCACCATTTAATCTTCCAAATAAACCCCAATTGTCTACCTAAAAGGAAAATGAAAGAAAATACCTTGGATTCATTGAGGTTGACTTCATTGCTACCAGCCATGGCTCAACAAACCAGACTCCAAAAACCAAGAAGGAAAACAAAAAGGAAGAGGATTAAAAGCCCACCTAGGAAATGAAACTAATCTTCACAAACGCAGAATCATAACAACAAACAAAAGCAAGAGTTCATCATGTGTATGCCCCCCCTTCTTCTCTTATCTGGTTTCTCGGGGTGTCTTTTCTTTGTACTAGATTATCACCCCAGTCCCCTCCTTTTCTTTTTGATTGATTCCTGGTTCTGAATTTTTTTTTTCTGAACAAGAAGAGACACTTCCTTTCTGAAACAAGGAACCTCCAAGAAAATATAAAAGAGAGAGAGAGAAAGAGAAAAAAGACTCTTCAAATAAAAGAGATAGAAAATGCAAAGCTATATATATATATATATATATATATCTGCGTTAAACAATGCAAGTACATAAAATATAGAGAGAGAGAGAGAGACAGAGAAGGGAAATGTTTTTAATGAGTCAAACGGGGGGGAGAGAGAAAGAGAGAAACGACGGAGGAGGACGTAGACGAAAGAGACGACAAGCGGGGCGGCCGAATAAACTGTTTATTTGGGTCCCACGTCCCTATCCCCTGCCCTTTCCCTTTTTTTCCTTCTATAAACTAACTTCATTTTTTTTTTCTTTTTTACATATGTATCAATATTATATTTTATTGTTTATTAATTGAAATTCTCTTTTTTTGGTTTCTACTTGTACTCCCGTTTGCTACCCAACATTTTCATTTTTATAGATTTGGCTATGGCTATTGCCACTCCTCCTTTCTGCTTCGGTTTTTTTTTTAATCATTTATCTGTTGTGTTTCTTTCCTTTTTTTTGAAAATAAGGATGCTTTTTTATCTACTAATAATAATTAGCATATCAAAATTTTATTTATTTTTGTTTTAGGGCAAAAAATAGTATTTTAGATAATTGTGTTTGTGATAAAAAAAAAAGAAAGGATAATTTCACAATTTCGTATATTCCTTGTTCCATAAAAATTTGTACTTGAAGCTTGTACATAGGATCAATATTTTTTAAAAATATATAAAAAAAAAATGTAAAAGGGCGGTAATTCTTCGGACGGTTTCTGGAAATAGCCAAAATCTGGCCCTGGCAATAGCTGTACTGAACAGAAATTTTCGCTGGAAACAAATGAGAAGGAGACAAGAGTTTCCTGCGTGCGGCCGACGCCAAGGCACGTGGCGACAAAGGGTTCCGTCTCGACTCTTTTGCCCAAGCCCCCTCCTGAAATCCCGAAGCTACCCTCCTCTTCCCCGACAAAACCACGAAACAGCCACTGAGAACGACACGTGTTTGTCGGGGAGTGGAAAGCACGTGACGGCATGGTTTTTGTCAGAGCCTGGGGGCGAAGGCTTTTTCTTCTTTTTGTTTTTGGTTTTCTTCTGGGGTCATCTGGGCTGTGGATTTTGTCGTATTCCATAGGAGAGTGTATATATCTATCATTCGTGGGATTTGGACACGTGGCATCCTGGAAGCTCCCATTATTGACGGGCCCCACATGAACACACTTCCTCAAAGGTCTCATTTTTCAAACAAGTCGATCCGATTATCAAAGAAGAGAAAAAAAACTCTACCGGTTCCAGAACCATGATGGGCAATAAGCCCTCCGAAATCGCCACGTGTTCTCGTTTCATCCTGCTTTTGGGGTTAATTGATAGATTTTTCCTCTAATATATTAGGTGGGTCCTACGAATGAATCTACACCGTTGGTTTTGTTTGATGAAAAGATCAAAGCCATGATTAGGGGAGCAAAAAAAAATGTTGACAAAACAAACTCGAAAGAAAACGCTGGGTACTTTATTGGAGACATGCTTATTTGTACTTAAAGCCAATCGGGACCATTGATTATTTTGTCTTTTCTTGAGTAAAAGTCTAACAAATATTGTATCCCTTACATTGTTTGGATTTGAATATACCCAATTGCCCTTAGATTTTCTTCTGTTCTTTCCTCCAATTTTTTCCGATCCAAGACTTTTTTTTTTCCTTCTTGCCCCCGCCTCGTATAGGCAATGAAAGAGAAAAGCACCAGTGGTTTTTTATAATCAACAATTGATAGTGACGATTGGATGACAAAACAATGAGAAAATATTAAAAATTAAATAAAATAAGATTTTCAAATACCAGTGTAAAAGAATAATCCAAAAACATGTAATTGTATGATATATATGTTTATTGACACATGTTACGTACAGCTTATCTTCTCCTTCGATATTGATTTTTTACCAAACTTATAGAATAAGTCAATAATAACTAAACACTAACAGCCAAATATCATCTTCAATCTCATTGATTCTTTCTCTATTAGAAGAAAAAAAAATCATCAATAACAAAAATAGAGTCAAATATTTATTCATCACTCTCCAATTCTTTATTCCTCTTTGATTTTCACAAAAAAAAAAAAAATTTTGGTGTATTTTACAATAAAATTTTATTTTTATAAATTTAATATCCTTTCATGATTATAATTCCGATCATTATAAAAAAAATTAAATATCTATATTTACTATAATTAAAATTTAAAAGTAACTTACAAAGAGCATCTAAATTAACACATCGTGAACTATTTACATGTCCGGTGATAATTTATTTTTAATTTTAATTAATTATTTAGATCACGTTACTTAATGTAAATTTGTTTTTAAATAACATTATGCAAAGTGAGGCCACCATTATTGTATAAGATAAAATAAGAGCATTAAATTTTCCTTAGTAAACAAATAAAATGAAACGAGTGGAAATGGAGTAACACAATCGCAAGCAGGAGCAATAATAGCCAATAGGCAACGGCAAAGAAAAAACTAATGTGTTGTCGTATACGAAGGTGGCTATGCATGTGCCACGCACACAGATATAGCCGTGTTGCTTTGTAATTGCTACTTCTCTTTTTCTCCGCTTCTCTACTTTCTTTCTTTCTTTTATTCATTTATTATTATTATTTTTTATTTTCTTCTTCTTCTTGTCCAGCTTCAGACTACGTGTCGCTCTCTGTGTTTTGTTTAAGCCAAGCTATATATATATATATATATACAATACAAAAATTAGTAGTTGTATTTATCTTTGGTTATGTTTTTGGATTGGGAGCTTTTATTTTGTTTGTTTTTTTTTTTTTTTGTTCCAAAGCAAGTTAAGGTGCGGCCCACCTCAGTTTTGGCTGCTTATGCGTTAGGTCAACAACTAGGAACAGCTTTCGGCTGCTTCCGCCCGTTGGGTCAATTACCCTTTTCCCCTCTATCTACTGCAAAAATAAATTTTAAAAAGGGAAATTATTTATGATATTTTGTACATAAAACTTACTATTTACTACACAATTTAAAATTTTCGTGAATTGAATTAAAAATTTGTCTATATTTAGAAAAACTTTTAAATTTATATAAAATTTTAAAAAATCTCATTACTTATAATTTAAGAAATATATTTATTTTATTTTATATTTGATATATGTAAAAATTAAAATATAATAATTTATCTTTAAAAAAAATTTTAATTATATAATTTAAATAATTAATATAAATTTTAAAATTATAATTAAACATATAAATTTAATTTTATAAATTAAAAATAACTCTTTTTTCATTAAGAGAGAATTAAATAATTGTCTCAAAAAAATATGAATCTTTTTTATAATTATTATCTTTTTTTCTGTATAAATTAAATATAATACAAAATAATTATTATTTTATTTTATTAATAATATTATATTATATATTTGTTAATATATTTAACAGTAACAAAGAAACAAGAGAAATAACGTTGAGCACGTTAAGTAAATTGATGTATAATATCTGTGTTAATGACGTAGGCTGCCTGCCTCTGAAATCTGGCTGGGCTGGGCTGGGCTGGGCTATGTCGCATCTATCATCTGACATCAACGCATACATCATCACATTTTTCTTGTTGATTGATAGGATTCTGTCAATTTCTTCTCCTTCCTTTTTCTTTAACCTAATCCTATTTTCACATTATAATACCAAAAGTTTTTTATTACAACTTAAAAAAAAAAAAATTTGTCTTTATCATTATTTTCTTAGGGCTTTTGGCGGTATTATGAATAAAGTAGAGAGCAGCAGCGACTTCCAAATGCTTCACAAGTTGCATACCAACTTCAGAGACTCAAAAACTCAAAAAGAAAAAGACTATCTTTTCATTTAATTACACACTGATCCCAAAAAGAAAAAGAAATTGTATTTTTGGCATGCCTCCCTTCAAGCACTTTACCTCCAACTAGATAATAGCCAAGCAATTTCCAAGTGGAAAAAGAACTGGGAATCAAGACAAAAACAATGTAGAATGAAATGTGATTTTGACTTGATTATGTTATTCTCTCCTTCAGAAAAACACAAAAATCATCATCACCTAACTCTTAACTACGTACAATGTATGTGTTTGGTCTTTGGAGTGACTAGGTTATTTCTCCTTTTCTACAAAAACAAGCTTCACATGCCTCGTGTCTCACCTTTCATCAATGTCTTTATCCTTTTATTATTATTATTATTATTATTGAAAGAATTTCAAAGTAAATGGAATTCTAATTGCATAAATAAGAGTTGAATGTTTGAATCTAGCCCTAATATATATCTAGCACTCAAGGATTTGAAAGTATATTGGTAGGGTTAAGAATCAACCCATTAAGATAGTATATTTTTTAATCTCAAGCCACAAATCGATGTTGCCAATTTAAGAAAAATATTTTTTTATGAAATTATTAATATAAAAATTGTAATTATATTAAATATTATATATGAGAAATTAATTAATCAAATATAACAACTCAACTAATGAACAAAAAGTTTATAATTAAATAAATTTAATATAAAATCTCAAGATTTTATAATCTCTTTTTTTTTTTACTTTAATTGATAAATTATTTGTATCAAATGTATGAAAGTTTAATTAGTACAAAAATCTAATTTCTTAATATTTTATAATATATAATATCTTAAACTTAAATTTTGAAACTTTATCAACAAAGTTAATTCGTTAAACATTAGTGAGCAAAATTGATTATAGTACCAAATGTTTATCTAATTGCAGACATAAAAGGCATGGATGTATATGCTCCCAATTCATTTTGTATTTTTGGCATGAATGTGGGGAATGAACTAATGTTTTGTATGTTGGGAGGAGTCAGTTCCATGAATTAGCCAATTGGGTTCTTGAGCTTGGTGCTGTGATAGGACACTCAGGAAACCTTTTTTTCTTTTTTTTTTGTTGTCCTTAATTAATAACCATAGATGTTAAAGGATTAGGGGGAAGTCACACAAATTACGTTTTCATCGTTTCACAAGTCAAATTCAATGGGAAAAAATAACAAATAAGTTTATGAATTTTATCATTTTATTTAAATAAATAAATCTTCATTACAAATAAATTTTTTAAAGTAAAAATTTATTTAAATAAAAGTTAAAATAATAATTTAATTTAATTTAAAAGTAAAATAATTCAAAAACTTTGGTAATATTTTAGTCTATTCAATCATCCTTCAAGAAAAAGGCGTGTTTAGCTACGTGTTGAGCCACTGCCTATTGTGAGTATTGTCGTACCTTTACTGATGCAATTGTTAAATCAAATGATAAGAACGAATCCCTGGCTTTATTTTATTTTATTTTATTTTTTGTCCTTTTTCTAATGTCTATATGATTTAAGAAAAGACGTTACGTAAATAAGTTGTTTT